CTCTTCATAATTCACTCTCTTGAAGACGTTTCCTTTACATTACAACTGGATTAAAAATTTATATACATGGTTATAATCGGATGCCCTCTCGGTGCAGGACATCACACAATGAAACTGATCTCAGAAGAAATTTTGCCAAAATATTTCTTATACCGAAGAATACAATTTATTCTTCGTAGCTACCTTCCATTCTTTACTGAGCGATAAAGTGCTTGGTTATTATAAATAGAGCAAGAATGTCAAAGGAGGTAGCTAGTAGAGATTTGTAATGGATAAGAAACCTTACCAAGTGTTACCACCTACAAGTATGATTTGATGCTTAATCCCAGATCTCCAAACATCCCAAGCAGCACATCTTTCATCTTCTCTACCACAAAAAGAACTTTTAAGTTGCTTTCAGAAAATCCTAAGACCTTCACCTGTGCAACAAAGAGATTTTACCCGGCTGCGGATGAACGTTAAAGTTCATAAATAATGGATTGCCATTTCCATCTGACTGCTGTCAGGATCTCCGTGATGAAGTACTGTTCTTTTTCCAGCTGTCAAATATATTCCACAGACAGAGACACTCCACCAGGAACAAATCCTTCCTCGTGAAGTTCCTCGTAGCCAGATAACAATGTTGTACAGTAGGCTGTTCAAAATATGAGAGAGGGCTGCCCATACTTTTCAAAGTCCTCTACACTTGCATTTTTTCATCTGAAAATTCTAGTCCCTTTCTCTTTGCTTTACTGACGGCTTTCACCAGCAGCCAACACTGCACCAGATCCTAAGCTGGAGTAATTGTCAAGCAGCCCTTTATTTTCCTCTGAATGGCTCAGCAGAAGCATCACAAAACAATTTTACAAACTTCTCTATTAAATGATCTCGTACGGAAAGCTTGTATGTACATATACTTAAACACGCACAAGTCCGTGAGAACGAGTCCCCTTCGTGCAGCAATCAACAACTGATAACCCATTTTATATAGCTTGAAAACTTTAAAGAATAAAGTTTCATTTTCCACTGTGAACAGAGATATAGAAATACCTAGACCTTTCTGCTACGTATCAGTCTGCTGCTGTCCCAGCCACAGCAGTCGGAAGACATCTGGATCTCCATACTTGCCTTCTCAAAGTCTCCTCCGCCTCTCCTCTTTAAGCCTGCTTGAACGCATTTGCTCACTTGTGTAAGCTTTTACTCTTAGGTTAACATTACTTCTGCAGTATGAGTAATCTTCTCCCGTAATTTTCTAAGTAAAGATGGAAGTAATTCTCTTCCAAACATTGTAATTAAATTTAATTTTTAAGAAATTTTAATACAAAATTTGGAGTCGTTAAAAATTTATATATAAAGTCAGCTCCCCTCATTTTCCTGTGCATAGGATACTTTTCATTATTCAACAGATTTTATTTTTTAAGCAATTAAGTTATCAAATTACTGAGCTCACTCAAGATAGCATGTATTTGTAGAGGTAGAGTAGGCTTCAGAGATGTAATTCTTACCACTGAACAATGCGCACAGATAACCCACAAAGCATCTCCGTAGAGTAAGGCTCTCAACTTCATTGAAATCCACTGGAACACTCACTGAGAAAATGAGCGTTTGAAGAACATTTCCTCTCGGCGAGTACGGTATCCACAAATCAATTATAAAAGCAAAACTTGACCTACCATTCCCCTGCAGTAGTTCTGAAAGTGATATTTACTCATCTTTTGATGAAAAAGTAAAGCCATAAAAAAGGGAAACTTGCATTCCTCCATACAGCCTTACCGGTATAAATAGACTCTCCCATGATCATTGTGCTAATGTAATGTCACCTGCTACTGAAGAATGTAAAAGAAAAGAAAAAACAAGATATCCGAGCATTTTTTACAAGATTAACTCCTTCCATTCCATATGCAAAGACACCTGGTGACATACCAAGAGCCCACTTTTACACTGGGCAATGCATCCGTTAAAAATAGAAGTTTTAAGCCACTAATAAGATAACGTTACATTCTAAAGGTAGCATTTATTATGATGCTACTTATCATGCATTTACTTTTTTTGCATTAAAAAAGCAAAAGACACAAGCTTGCAACATTACATTTCATCAATATTTCACCACAGTTTTTAAATTAATAAAGTGCAATTGAAAAACGGGTGCCGCGGCTATCTAATTTGCTGTATTATAAGCCTTTAATGGCAGGCACAAAGTGCCCCTTGCCAATGTATTCAGCACAGCACAACTTTGCAGACTGTTGACTACAGTCCTTCCTGAATACAAGTGTTAGTCATTTTTTTCATTAGAAAGTTGTCTTCTGACACGCAGTAGCTGCATCAGGACACAACTATAATGCATTAAAGTAACAAATTAGAAAATTGAAACCTAATGCACTGTAAAATATTGTTTTAGTTACACTAATTTTGTACAGCAATCCAAAATATTACATGTTTTAAAATAATTATCCCACCGCCTTTCCATTCTGGATTGTTGCCCAATGTGTATTATGCAGGGGTTTGGTTTTTTTTTTTTCCATCTAGTTTTAACTTAATTTTATTATCGCTTGACTTACTTCCCCCCCTGCCCCAAATCAGACAAAAGTCTATCTAGAAGTGAAGGAAACAGACCATTTTAATTAATGTTCTCTATTGAAAACAAAAAAAAATTAAAATACCGAAATATTAAAGATTAATGCTAAGAAGGGATGAATTTCAAAAATTTTTCATGAGTTACCACCTTAAAAGTTGCACCAGATCATCTTCCTTACTAGTTTTTTTAATCCTACTTCCCAAATAACAAAAGCAGACTTCTGCTTTCAAACGTATTCTCCAAAATGTCTGCATTTACAAATTTAAAATTTATTTTAGAAAGGAACAAGCTACTACAAAATGATTCCCTGATCTAGTGACTTAAAAAGCACAAGGAAAAAAAAAAAAAAAAAAGAGTACTTCATTTACATCTTTAAACCATAAAGGTGATATAAACATAGAGCCTTCGTAGCCTGGATTTTGCATTAGATACACTGAAACCGCTATTTTGAAAGATAGCGGCTTCTGCAAATGAGTATAAAAGGGAGTCTGTTTCTTTTGGCAAAGCAGGTCACAGGATCAACTCACAAAGACTCTGGATTTACTGGGACCCAAACGAGGTACGGTGCTCACTCAAATCACACAGCTGAACAGATTAATTGGTAACTTTCCCAAGCCATAAACAGATCTTTTGTCTGCAGGCTTGTGAGGTATTAAAAAGCACCGAATCTAAAAAAAAAAAAAAAAAAACAAAAACCCAAAACCAAAAAAACAAAACAAAAAACCCCCACAAACCACCAAACCAGAAGTATTACCAATCCTTGGTACCTCCCTTAACAAGGCAGGATTGGGGAATGGTTTTGGAAAAACACCTGCCCAGTTAAACAGCAGAACCAGGCTTCTAAAAGTGCGTATGACGCTTCATTTTAACTGGGGAACTGAACTCATCGTGGCCACCTTGGGTTCTAAGGCATTTCAGCCTACACAGCCCTTCGTTCGAGGCAACAGAGTGAGAGGAAAACTAATTATCCTACACAGGGTAGATATTTTATCTTTTTGTTTAAAAATAAATTGCTTGAACAGTCTGCTACAACAATTGGGATGTGCACTGAAGTACCGAGGGAAAATGGATACTTTCAGCACACCTTAACAGAAGGTATAACAAGTAACGTCAAAAAACAAAGAAACAACAACAAAAAAACCCACCAAGTTAAAAAACAGAAGTTAGTCCCAATTCAGATATGGTTTAAAGTAAGCAAAACAAGACCAAACTACACACAAATACAGCTCTCAAGATCATTTAAAAATAAAACAAAAAGCAGAATTTCCTCAAATTCTATTATAAATTAGATTCTAGACTATTCCCAAATTTTCTAAGATTCTTCTCTGATGGCCTCCAAACCTCTAAGCTTGCAGAAAAAGGACCAGAGTACCTATTGACAAATAACTGGTTTAAAAAAATAACATAAAATAAATAAAATAAAATAAAAAGTTGTGCCTACAGAAGTGAACTGTCATTCTACAGATTACCGTACAGCTTTCCAGAAGTTTGGAACAGTTAATTCAAGAACGTTTTTAGTCAACACCCTAGATTTCTGATGTGATTAACAAGGAAAATGTGACCAAAACCCCTCAACGCTTCATATCAAATGGGTCATTTCTGTGATAAAAGAAAAAAAAAAAAAAAGTATTACTGGAAGTTACACATCACATATACAGAAGAATTTTATCTCTTTACTACTAATCTTTGCATCCAAATAGCCAACGGTTAAAAAAAACCTCTGAGGAGAGTTGCAACACTTCTCAAAGGTAATAGCAGCAAAGGAAAAAGCACTCCAGTAAGACTGATGCCATTTCCGCACATACGAACTTATGAAAAAAAAATTCCACGGGCAATTTAGAAGATGTACTATTGCATGTAATCCAACACAGCAAAAGTGAATCCTTCCCATCAAAATCAGAGAATTTTAACAATTTTTACGATATTCTGTAGTCTTATAATACAGCATTTTAGATAAAATTCTTTCATGAATTTCCCCAAATGGTTTGCATTCATATAAGGCAGAACACAAAGCAGTAAAAGACTTCACAGAATCAAAGCTAAAGTTTGTAGCTTTTCTCGCAAAAATTAAAAAGTTGTCAAGAATGAAATCTTGATTGCTATTCCTAGAAGAAAACATAGAAACGTGCCAGGAAAATTGCACCATCTCAGGAGTTTGGGGAGATTTTTTTGTTTTCTAAAAAAAGAGAGATGTCAGTGTTCACTGGATTTATAAAACACATTAATCTGAGAAACCTGAGTGAAACACTTCAAACACACTGGTGGACAACGAGCAAGTAACCAGTCTGCTCCATTCTAATTCCAGGAGCTTGTACCTGCTCAGAACAGACGCGTGGAACTCATTTGTGTGAGCTTTTGCTTTCATTCCTCACCGGACAGGATCCGTAAAGCGTGGCCCTGGGTGTGCAGGCAGTGTGGCTAGGGGAAGAGTAAGGTCAGTACAGAGGTAATGCCTTGTTTCCTTAGGAGGAGCATTCCATGGCAGAAATGTGCACCGTTTCAGTGAACCCACGTTATCTTCATAGCAGAAATTTCATTTTACACGCATAATTTCTAGTCAGATTTTCCATTTCTGTGAGTTTTGGCTTCCTCCCGTCCAATAAGACAAATGACTTTGTAGCATCCTTTTGCAATTTTGACCATCCACATCACGTTCATAACATCCAAGACAACACTTGAGATAATCCAGGCACTCTGGGCTGCAAATCCTAATCTCTGGAAAGCCTCTGTTCCAAATGAAGAAATTACATGGCTGTAATATATAGGCATGACGGCAATCCTCACCACGAAGAACACGACTGTCATCAGCACACCATTGATGATGTTGGCCTTCGAAGATTTGGGATATCCCAGTACTTCAAAAAACCACCTGCAAAAGAAGCGTTCACAGATACCAGGCAGACTTGAAGGCATCTCATTAAAAAAGGATTTTCTTTTTTTTTTTTTTAATTAATCATTTAATTTATTAACTGCTTCTACCCTTCTCATTTCTAAATTATTGCACTGTGTCTTGGCTTAGTTGCAGATTCTTCTGCTTGGCTGCATTTTTTCCCCCCATTTAAGCAGCACGTGATATCCAGTACATTGCAGAAGAACATGTAGACAATCCCAGTTTGAATTGTAAACCAGCTGGCAACCAGTGTGCATTTCAGCGACTACTGCACAATACACTATAATTCAAATTCTCTTTTAAAACGATAAATACAAATTTATTACTTGTTACTATAGTTTACACCAATGGGCACCACAATTCTGTTTGTTTCCCTGAAGGCAATTCTAGTATTGTATTTGGATATGGTAATCTAGATAAAGCTCCGATTTCCAGTTGCTCACATTTGGTATTTTCTGACGATAGGACGAGAGGAAATGGCCTCAAGCTACATCAGGGGAGGTTTAGATTGGATATTAGGAAAAATTTCTTCACTGAAAGACTGGTCAAGCATTGGAACAGGCTGCCCAGAGAGGTGGTGGAGTCACCATCCCTGGAGGGGTTCAAAAAACGGGCAGATGTGGCACTTTGGGACATGGTTTAGTGGGCATGGGGGTGTTGGGTTGATGGTTGGACTGATGATCTTAGAGGTCCTTGCCAACCTTAGTGATTCCTAGTGTTTACTTTCACTAAAAATAATCCAGCCACCAACGCAGGAAACATGAAATTATTCCTCTCCACTTAACTGGTTTAGTGGTGGACTTGGTAGTGTACGTTACTGGTTGGACTGGATGATCTTAAAGGTCTTTTCCAACCTAAACGATTCGATGATTCTACTACTACTGGGTCATAAATGGCCTTTAAAAAAAAAAATTCTTGCATATTAATTCCTTAGTAGACAGGCATAACTTATCTACTGCCTAGCACACAGAACCCACGGGCTGAATTCCTAGAAAAAGGAACAACAAACTCCTCTAATTCTTTATCATTCACACTTCAACCAGAATAAACGCAAGGCAAATTTGTGCAACGATGGCAGGTTAAAGACAGGACGGGAGGAAAATTACTTAAATCACTGTATTCATGATTGGGGATGGGGAGGGAAGTAGAATAGAATCATCAATTTATTTTCAAGGAGATATGGGGGTAAAATTATTTAACAAAATAACAGTTCTAAAACTGGTTTTAAAAGTCATTTTTAATTGAATTACCTACAGATTACAACCTAGGTAATTACAGATATACTAAAAAGATTTGCCAGACATCCAGCTCTAACAGAAGTACTCTGGGAATTCATTAAGAGTGCAACTGAGACAATTAAAATCCAGGCACTCCAGGTGGCAGTCCAGCATGGAAGTCAGATGCCTCACCACAGAAACACTTACTGGGACAATGAAGAGAGAGACCTGATCTATTTGGTCAGACTAACAATCAGGGCCTGTACTTTCATTGATATATATACCATGAAGATTCCAAAAGTAATGGAAAAAAAGGTTTTAAAATATACTGCGATGTGCTAATACAGGTAACTTAAAGAAAAAAAAAAAAAGGGTAACTGCATATCTGCTTAGCTACTTCCATCTCCCCGCAAATTCAAAAAAAATAAAAGTCAGTAAATCACAGTTATCATTACAATTTTACCCACCACCGTTCATAGGTAGTTACATAAATGCTAACACTAAAAGATCTAAATGCTTGGCATGGAGACAACCTCCAATTAGATATCCCTAACAACAAAGGCAGGAAATACGAAGAAAATACTACAGTTCTGAGATTAGAATATCATTTTATATTTTAATAATAGCTCTTTTGGTAATACTAAGAATGCAAACAAGAAACATAATGTCAATCATTATCATTATCCACTACTTACTGTCTTAAGGGTCTGGTTTTCTTCAAATTTAATGAAAAAAAAACCCAAAACCAAAATAAACCAAAAAACAAACATTCATGCACTAATGAGATGACATCCCTTAGTGCAAGGGACTTGATTATCTCCTACAGAGATTTCAGTTTTTCTGAGAAAGCAGTAGATGTCGGTATTCAAAGACACGTGATCTCCCCGCAGGCCTTTTAAAAGCGTAACATACATTACTTTTAATAGCCAGATGTATCATGGTGCTTCCTAACGCCACAGTCTGAAAGGTAAGCATCGGCATAGGCACCACTTAAACCCAGGATGAGCTCCTGTCTTGGTAGAAGTCAGTTGGGAGAACAGCTATTCACTGGGATGTGAATTTCAATATAGAAACCTAGAATATAACACCACCTTTTTTCATTTTTTCTCCTCTTCCTTGTATTGCTAAAATAAGTTCAAAGAAGTGTTTATTTACTTCTCAGCCCAGACTACATTAGACTATAATCTCCTACTCAACAGTGCTTGGGTAAATGAAAGCAACCTCTGGAAAGCCCCGTTATCCCACCCTGCCCTCCTGTAAGTTGCGTTTGCCAAGCTAATATTCAAAAGGGATCTCAGCACAATCTTTTTTATTCTTAGAGATCTGAGCAATGCTACAGTCTCATAAAATACTTCAGAGTTTACAGTCTCATGCAGTAATGGCTAATACTCAGATACCCTGTTTGCAGGAGGATTACAGTTTCCCTCACTCCAAGAAGGACACTGAGGTGCTGGAGCGTGTCCAGAGAAGGGCAGCGGAGCTGGGGCAGGGTCTGGAGCACAGGGCTGGTGGGGAGCGGCTGAGGGAGCTGGGGGTGTTCAGCCTGGAGAAGAGGAGGCTGAGGGGAGACCTCATCGCTCTCTACAACTGCCTGAAAGGAGGGGGTAGTGAGGTGGGGGTTGGTCTCTTCTCCCAAGTAGTTAGCAATAGGATGAGAGGAAATGGCCTCAAGCTGCGCCAGCGGAGGTTTAGGTTGGATATTAGGAAAAATTTCTTCACAGAAAGACTGGTCAAGCATTGGAACAGGCTGCCCAGAGAGGTGGTGGAGTCCCCATCCCTGGAAGTGTTCAAAAAACGGGCAGACGTGGCACTTTGGGACATGGTTTAGTGGGCATGGCGGTGTTGGGTTGATGGTTGGACTGATGATCTTAGAGATCCTTTCCAACCTTAGTGATTCCTAGTTTTACTTTCATTAAAAAATAATCCAGCCACCAAGCCAGGAGGCATGGGGTTGCTACTCTCCCCTGAACTGGTTTAGTGGTGGACTTGGTAGTGTTAGGTTAATGGTTGGACTGGATGATCTTAAAGGGCTTTTCCAACCTAAATGATTCTATGATTCTATTTGCCTTACAAACCTTATTCTTTCTCTACCTGACACCTGGAAAAGACAAGAGATGCCACACACATAGGATCAATAAAGTAGAAACACACCCCAAAAAGTATGGGTGAGGAACAGGCATCTGACACACTGAAAGATCTGATCCTACCTTGCGAGAAAAAT